ATATTTATTTATTTATTAAAATTCATTGTATTAAAAAATGCGTTCAGTGAGTATTCGTATACTAACTATTATTTAGGCGTTAAGATGTACAGCTTTAAATTCCAAGGTTACCAGAGAGGGGAGGGTAAAATCTGATGAAGTCCTCTTTAAAAGTAAGGACATCTCTGGACCTCGTGTTCAAATTCGTGACTCTTTTTCTAAATTTTGCTCAAAGCCGAAGCAGGGTGATCACGCCTGAATTGAATGACTTTCAACTAGTTGAGGATTAATTCTCGTGGCTTCGTGTGATTATTTTTATTACCAACCAGAAAGCAAAGTGGAAACCCATATAACTCCCAACTAGTTTGCCTCCAAATTTATTGTTTAAAATTGGCCTCGTTTCTGCGCGGGCCTTTTATTGTTTTAGCACCTTTCTCATGGTCGGGAATTATTGATGCATAAAGGTAGAGGGATCACCAAATGTTTGCAGCTGTACACAAAGAATTTACACTCACAAAATGATTTATTAAGGCACAACCTACAAATATTTCTATTGCGAATTAATACACAAATGCGGAAACTACAGATGTTCGCACAGATTTAAATTAGTCTTAAACAGTTCCAAGGTTCACAAACAATTGTGTCTGCGTCTTGCGTGGGTTTTACTTCTTGAGATATTTGCCTTATTTGGCACTATGAAAATAATAAATTTACCTCAATTAGAAATTAATGAAATATTTTAATAAATTCAACGTTCACCTGATGTTAGAAGGTGAAAAATTAATTTCCTTCGTTTGCATTTATGGGTTTCATAAAGGTTCGATTATACTGTAAAAAAGATTTGGCAGAGCTACTGGAGAACTGAAGTTAAAATTACTTAAGGTTTACAGAAATATTTGCATCTATTGTTTTAATGTATTCTCTTTGTTTCGTCTAATTGTTTTGACTCGCATTTGCTTCGGATCCGCTCTCACAATACAAGTATGGTCTAATCACTCTAATTGTGTGGAAGGAAAATTGGGAAACATTCCACAACGAACTGTGTTATTTTCGCATTATTATTATTATTATTGTAAGTTCCATCTACCATATTCTTTTCTCAATACCCATTGAACTAATCTATAGAATAATTTCAAGTTCCCAAACATGGGGACCTTATGGACAAAGGGAGGTAATTTAAGACTCGAGCTTTTGATCCCCCCCTTCTACTTTCGAATATATTTACTGCAAGGAATTTCTCCATCCTTCATCAAAAATTTTCTTTCAGCCAAAATCGATGCAATAAGAGGAAATGAATATTTTTAAGAACTGAATACCCAAAAATGAACCTCACAACACCCTAGTAATTAACTTCAAGTATTCATTAACAAAAGAAATGGACTGTATTAAGTTCGAATGAATCGCTGTTTGCAGACACCAGGTTGAATGTAGTTAATAATGGAAATAATTCGCAGAAGACATTCCTACTAATGACCAAAACCTTCGTTTTTCATTCCACGCCACCCAAGATAACGTGAGGAGAAACCCCTTTTTTACTGCCAAATGCCGTTTTATTAGAGTTATAAAGGAAGAGTATGATAGTTTAATTGAGGAAAACTGAGAGGCAAAGACCAGAGATTTGGAGTCCTAAACATTGAAGATAAAAATATGAGCAAATAAACCAGAACTCTATCGACTTCATTAATTCTAGTGCCATAGGATAAAATAATGCAAATGAGGCTTCGGAGTAATTATATACTTATTAATTAGACAGAGTTCTACTTCCTTGAAAAGGACAGTAGCTCTATAAACACTTCCTTTTTCAAAAGCAGCACTTCCAATATGGTTTGACTAAATCGGATGTTAGCCAACTTTATCACATATCATAAAGTAAGCTCAATTTCTAGTCTCAGTAGTTTAAAGACACTGTGTTTCGTTGAAAGAAATTCAAACCATCAACGAAAACACGAAGAGGAAGAAATTTGTGCATATGCTGGCTGAAAAAGTAGACATAACTCTGAACAGCCTCAAAAAAGCACGCTTATTTGAACCATCCCCCAAACTTTAGCCATTTAGCATAACGTACAATTAAAAGGGTGGAAGATAAAAACACTTTTCATGTCCAGACATCATAAATCAAGCATAATTTGGAGTCAGCGAGAACCAAACGTGAGCCGTGATTTAGTTCCCACAAAAGCGGAGGATGGACCGAAATTAATATGTATTAACCCAGCGGAAACAAACTCTAGAAATGATCGGTCGGCCCTATCATTATGATTTGGCGTGTTCAAATAATTCCTAAAAGAAATGCGTAAAATGCCTTAATGTTTTTTTTGCCAAATATACTCCAACTTGCTAGAGCCTATTTTATAAAAATGCTTCCTTGGGCGTAGCCATGACGCCAAGGCATGCATCAGGTGAGAACGTGTTAAGCTGACGCATCCTTCGTTAGTCCAACTAAGAGCTCCGTTCACTGGGTGTGAACAAATGGAATGGAAAGTGTGACCTCTGACTTCGCAGACAAGCCCATCAAACCTTGCTTACTTTGTCAATTCGAAGGTTTTCCAACATACCATGAGTAGAATTACCAAGGCTATTTATTACTTAAATAGGAATCGATTGAAAAGTCAAATTTCCCACCCGTGAGCCCTGACTTTCAAGCTAAATTAGGTGATATTTTTGAAAAATTGTCATTGTCCTTTTATTCCTGATATTTTGTTAATAATAATTAGACGGAACAATGTCAAGATATGTTTACCTTACCTGATTAAACTTGGTAGAAATTCTCGATATTAATGTACCCGCAATCCAAGAAAAATTAACTCTGAATAGCACACCCAAAAATTTGATATTTCGCCAGTTTAAATTTCAATTTTTTAACACAAACCTTATAAAGCTTAGGTGACTTCGAATTTTTGACTTCTCATTTTAAATTTATTTGGTTTAAATAAGCTTCCAAATATTGTGCAACATCAATTTGGCTCCTCATTGATTAGAAGACAATAGTACCAGCCCTTTAATGCCCTTAGGGAAGTGCGGTCCACTGTCAGAATAAGGTCATTGGTAGTAGACTTATAAGAGAAGGAAAAAAAGATCGGGAACACTATTTCAGAACATAAAATATAATTTGAGCGTAAAAGAGTTAAATCGGTTGGGGGGGGGGGAAGGGAAGGGGACGGTTCATGAAAGTTTCAATTTTGAAACATGAACTATCAACCCAACTATTACAGAATTCGACTTCAAAAGTCAAAAGAGGTAAGATTCCTAGCTACCTTGCTGTTGTTTTCAGCATCATATTATAATCCTCCAGCATATCATTTGTCTAGAAGTTCTTTTAACCGATTTCAGACGCTTACACAATTTAGAAAACAATTTTTATAACTCGGAGTAATTATAATGCCATAATACCATTGTCCGATTCGATAAATGTGATGTATGTAAAGCAATGCAAGGGTAGCATTGAATAAACCAGAGTAGCTTGACCGGCCGTTTCATTAAATCAATTAGACAACAAGCTCTGAATAGGGAGACATGAGTTCATCCAGAAAATCCAAAACCATATAATGAGATCTAGAGACTTCTATTTTTTGTAGAACGTTGACCACTCAATGCTCCTATAGTTCAGAAAGGACTTCCTGCTCCCCTTTTCTGTTCTTATCGCCACCGATTTCTCCCCTCACCCCTTTGAACCATATTTCTATTCCGCGTTTGTATATGTCATTTTGTGTCTGAATTAATGGTATTCATTTTTTTGTATAAGTTAAAACATGATTCGCCTAACAGTTAAAAAGCATAAAAGTCTTGAAATTGAAGAATGTCTGATTAGTTGAGTCTAATGGTTTGCTTATTTTTAAAGTTATGTCTAACTTTAGACACTTTTAGCCCCTTATCTCGTCATATATAGAGATTGGGTACATTGATTCAGTAGTTTAAAAAGGCTAGGTAACCCGCTTTACTTACTTATATTAATTGCTTAAATTTTGATTTAAAAAAATAAAACAAATTATATTATCGCCTGAAATCCTTTATCAAACGACTCATTAAAGACTTCTACGAGATTTAAACACCTTAAATACAATTTTACTATCATCTTTAACCATTTACTTGTAGGTTCTTTCTGTTCCCCTTACTTTGATAGCCTGGGTCTTCAATTACGTTAACTGTACCCCTGTCACAAATTGAATTGCGAGTGAAGTAACTCCTGATAAAAGGCAAAAAACTTTGGTTAAAATTAATATTTTCGCATACTAAAAGAAAAATATCTGCGAAGTTCATTAAATAAATGTAGTAATTAAATTTCTTCTGCGAACTTTGAATATTACGCGCAAATTATTCAAAGTTATAAAACATAAAAGCGCTGTTGAAAATCGATAATCGTGCAAAACTAACTCTGAGAACGTAGTCTTTTTGATGCCAAATTTTAAAATATCAAATTTGAGTGAATGAAGGCCGTTATGAAAGAAAGGATAATATGGGACTTTGTCTTAGTTACCAGAGCTATTATTTACTATAAACTATTCTTGTCTTGACAGTATTAAATCAATCGACATTACAGCCAATGGGGCTAAAATCTATCAACCAATGGGATCATTATCCTCTTTTGTGAACATATGAGGAACTTATGTGAGCGTTTTCGAGCATTAATTGGTCATTGGCTTCCCCAAAGGTAACAGTTATTGGTTGAGAAATGGAATAAATGCTAACAAGTTGTTCGATCTCCAACATTCACGTAAGTGAAAGAATTGATTGTAGGTTCTTGAACCAGATATCTGAATTGATGTTTCATTTTTAAAGTAGTATATTGATAAATGGTTTCCAATAACATTTACATATGTATTGATGCACTGGTAAGGAAAATGTGTGTGTGTGTTATAACTTTCGTAAATCATGTTAAACTTTTTCAATATATTTTTTTTTCCCTTCGGATGAAATCTTTTGATGTAGTTATTATTTGTTTGTTTTAACTTATGTGCTGGAGCCTTTCACCATTAATGGACAACTTTTACTTTTATAGGATATTAAACCACTTTTTGCTATAGATCATGAACAAACGGCATACTCTGGTGGTAGTCTTTCTCGCATTTCTTTTCGCCTTTGTATCTCCAGGAATTGTTTCAAGACCAATGGGTGAAAAACACCCTAATCCACCTGAAATAGCCCAAGTTCACAATCCTTTGGTGGGAAAAAGAAGCCTCGAATCCATGGTGGCCAATCAAATTTTCAAGCAAGCCTTGAGGAGTGCTTTACCGGGATCCGGTAGGAGACGTGGTCGTGGAAGAAGGTCATCGAGGCGTCAATGGAATGGGAATATGGTCCGATATGGATGACATTTTGAACCTCATTGACATTATACCCCATTCTTTTGTATTAAAGTTGCCCAATCTTTCACATTATATATTAGCTATGGCTACTGCTATAAGTTGTAATGAGGTATGCAGGAAGAGTATCTGGCAAAAGATATTGACTGGAATACTTTCATCCTATCTGTTTTCAACAGATAGTATAGCAATGTCATGGTAAGGCAAACATTCATTGTGTTCCAATGAAACGAATTAATTCAGTTTGAAACTTCAGGCCATGTTGCTCTGAAACAACGTAACACGATTAAGGCAACATTCGTGGTGTCCAGTTTCCATAAATGTTCTCCTAGAAGTACAATGTATTGAGTTGATTTGAAGGAATTTACGAGTTTTGCTTGCATTGTCGAAATCATCGAAGAAAACACGTTTTTATTTGGCGTTAAAATATTATTCGGTGACGTCATAATTTAAAGTTTCAGATTATGACAAAAACGGATTCAAAGTTGTCTCTGGTCCTAAGTAGTACAAAAATTATTTTAATTCACAAATCATGAACAACTTCCTGAAAAATATTAATTACTGCTGCCAATGACCAATGATTTAAGATGGGATTTTGGGTGCAGTTGCATCAGCTCTCCCATTAGGAGCGGAGAAACACGTCCAAATTATCGTCGTCAAAATAGATTTCGTCCTTTTATACACCTGACAGTTACTGGGGGGAGGGGGGTGGGAAGGGGAAGGTGACGACCAAAGTTGGAAAAAAAATTGCTTGTCGCCAAACCGAGCACCAATTCCGTCTCATCAGCTAAGCCAGGTTTGACTCTGTGTAAACTTCTCTTATGAATATGGTGAGGGTAGATGAACAATAATTCAATGCGAACGGCCGAAACAGTTCCAAGCGGAAGTTTTTCGTCAATATTTGGGAAGATTAAATCAGAAATAAAAAAAGTTTACGCAAAGTTATATTTAGAAGAAAAGAGAAAATTCTTAAATGTGACAATTCTCATTCCGCCCCAAAAACATGAATGACGTCCAAAATGAAACAGGAAATAAATTAGGAGGCTTCTCCACACACTCAACATTCCCCAGACATCACTTCACCCAATTATCAACTTTTCAGGTGAATGGAACATGTTTCAGGAAAAAAGAGATTTCAAAAATAAACCAAAGTGGAAAGTG